GGTCTGCCCGGCGCGGGGCCCCGCCGGTCGGTCGCTGCGCCCGCGCTCCGGGGCCGCTCCCGCCGGGGCTTTGCCTGCGGAGTTGAGGAAGGGGAGACGTCCGCCCGCCTAGCCCAGCCTTCCCCGGCGCGCAGCCCCGACGGGGCCGCGGCAGCCAGGGCGCCGACGGAGCCATGAGAGAGTACAAAGTGGTAGTGCTGGGCTCGGGCGGCGTGGGCAAGTCCGCGCTCACCGTGCAGTTCGTGACCGGCTCCTTCATCGAGAAGTACGACCCGACCATCGAGGACTTCTACCGCAAGGAGATCGAGGTGGACTCGTCGCCGTCGGTGCTGGAGATCCTGGACACGGCGGGCACCGAGCAGTTCGCGTCCATGCGGGACCTGTACATCAAGAACGGCCAGGGCTTCATCCTGGTCTACAGCCTGGTCAACCAGCAGAGCTTCCAGGACATCAAGCCCATGCGGGACCAGATCATCCGCGTGAAGCGGTACGAGCGCGTGCCCATGATCCTGGTGGGCAACAAGGTGGACCTGGAGGGCGAGCGCGAGGTCTCGTACGGCGAGGGCAAGGCCCTGGCGGAGGAGTGGAGCTGCCCGTTCATGGAGACCTCGGCCAAAAACAAAGCCTCGGTGGATGAGCTGTTCGCGGAGATCGTGCGGCAGATGAACTACGCGGCGCAGCCCAACGGCGACGAGGGCTGCTGCTCGGCCTGCGTGATCCTCTGAGGCGCCGCCGGGCGCTGGCCACACTCTGTGCACAAAAGCCAAACGCATCCGACTCTCTAAATGTGATTCCTCTTCTTGCTTTGAGATTGGAGACGACTTTGCATTGACCCGGGTTGTCCCGGGAACCCGGCTGCCTTCCGTGGCCAGCATCCCCTGCCTTCATCATTCCGCGTCCGAGGGGGTGTCCCGACCTGACCATCCGAGACCTTGGTGGAAGTGTGGCTCTTTGCAGCATGTACGTTCCTCATTGATTTTGGTTGATGAATATTTCCCCGTTGGAATAGCCATTACGGCGCTGTATTGACAGCTTGACACCTAGCAAGCAGAAGTTTCAAGCCTGGAAAAAATGGGGGTGAGGAGGTGGAGGAAGTGGAGAGGAAGAAGGTGGAAGGGGGGAGGGATCCCTCCAAACAACTGTTTAATAGATCCAAGTTTTAAACACATGGATAGAGGTCCGAGAAAACCATATGAAGGAGCCAGAGAGGAAGAAACTTGTTTTTTTCTTGTTTTCCAGGAGTATCTAGAAATTAAGACCCTGTTCCTTTTCTGACAGCTTGGAAGGGCAACCCAAGGACTGATTGCGATGCTGCGGATGTCTATGCAAAGTTGGGTTCTTGTTACAGTGTATCCAATCTGAAGTATTGCACATCTGAACTGGGACTGTTAACACTGATGCCAATACAGTGTGGGGTGCCAGAAAGTGTCTGCTGATATTTGTGGGGGAAAAAATCTATTTTGTTTACCTACTGTATCAAAGGGGAGTCTGGGGAAGAGTGGTAGTATTTTTTTTTATCAGCTGTGAAAAAAATGTTACAGATCTGCACATGTTTGTGTTTACTATTTGTGTGTGTGTGTGTGTGTGTGTGTGTGTGTGTGTGTGTAGCTTTTTCTTTTCTGGTTGGCAGTAACAGATTTTACTGACTAGCTATTAAAAATACAATACAAAGACTTTGTAAATGTGATTCAGGGCCCCCAGCACCCCCGTGTCTGCAGAGTGCCTTTTAACTCAGCTGTTCCAGCCGGTGCCAACCTGTGAATTCCCACCCTATCCCAGAATTCTGTTCTGCTGTTCCCCAGACCACTTCCCAGTTTCCTTTCAGAGATCTTCCTGAGGGAGCCAGGACAATAGGGCCTGTTATTCAGTGAATTTCTTCATTAATTTCGGCCTTTACAATGTTAAGTCCATGTCTTGCATTTTATTTTCCTTTCTTGCTTCGTTTTGTTCAAATTTCAGGTATTTAGCTCCCCTGTTATATTATTTTCGAAGTGTTTGGACTGTTTGTCATAGGGTGTTCCTCCAGAAGCAAAGAGCAAAATTTTCCTGTTGTGATGTACCAAGAGAATGCTAACGAATTGTAATTTTTAATCCCACTCGTCTTGTCCTTGTCTCTTCATTTTAAGATTTTTAATACAAATACCATTTTTAAAGAAACAAACCCAAAATGTTGTGTTTCTGTGTTTCATACTCAGTGATTTACAGTATCCATTTTAACAGGGTGCCGGGGCTGAGGTGGGCAGGGCCAGGGGCCATGATGCCCTCCAGAGTTGTCAAATTTTGAAGATTGAATGACCTCAGTGACAAATTGGGTGACATTGCTGCCAGCTTCTTAAATAGAGAGAAGATTGTCAAGACTTGGGAATCACAGGGTATGACCATACCATCTGACTCCAGGATGAGGAAGTGTATTGATGCTGTTCTGCTGATGGGGAGCAATGCACTTCTTTGTTGGCAGAAACAGGGAGACACCCACTGCTCACTTCACACCCTTGTAGGTCTGGGAAGGGGACATCCACCTGGCAGAGTAGGATGGCACTTTCTATTCCTTGTTTTGTTTGTCTGCTTGTGTCACACATCAAGTCAGAAGTGTTCCTAATTCTGATGTCACACCCCAGTGTACTGTGCAGTGTGTGGTGCCCATTGTAGACAGTATTTCAGCCCTTTCAAAGTTTGTATGTGGAACCAGATCATTAGATTGAAAACAAAGATAAAGCAGGTTAAGACCATCCCCTTGCTCTCCTTAGTTTGTGGACCATATTTGACCTCATAAGTTTATTCTTCTAACAGTAGAAGGCAGTGTGAGCATTATATTTTATTTTTTCTTAAGGAGGTCTTTAGTATAATACATTTTGCAGAAAGAAAAAGTATGTATATAAGAGTACATACCATAGGTCCATGGGATAAAGTCTGAAGACTCAGCAGAGGGCTTTAACCATATGAGGAAGTGAAAAGAGATCCCACATTTCTTTAAAGTGATATCAGTATGTCTTGCCTTAATTTTTTCCCCCCTCTCCATCCAGGTTGCTTCCCATTCTGAGGAGGAACACTGCCTATGACACTCCTAGTGCCACTATTCTTTCCAGTTCTAATCTCAATTCTCCATTAACATCAAACACAATTGTGTTTCTAAGTATAAAAATTGTGAAAAACTGCTCCATGCCTTTACAGGAATTTAATTTTATATTTGAGTAATTTAGTTGCTTAAGTAGATCGAAAGCGTTGGAAATTCTGAAAATGTGTCTAACACTGTCAGAAGGATTTTTAAAATGTGTTTGGTGACCGTTTTATGTCATTATTTGGAAGCCTTTGGACAAAAGTGTTGCTAAGTATAAAACTCATGTAAGAAATGTACATCCTCCTTAAAAAAATACTTGAAAGTGGAAGAGTGAAGTAGGTGGTTGGCTGCATTGATCACTTAACCAAGGGTTTCTTAAAGGTCTAAGACGGCAGGACAGAGTTGAAAATATGCTTTTACTGAGTACTGTAAAATAAATGCTTTTTGGATTGTCAATTAAAGCTGCTGCAGGAAAAGAGTTCTTGAGTTGTTTGGCTCTTCCCCATTGTTTTCTTGGCAGAATAGAAATTTTGGGGATTGTTTTTCCTAAAAGAAGAAACGTCTTTAAGAATGGCAATTTATTTGGCTAGGAAGAACTTCTAGGGTAATAGTGTTCCCAATAAGAGCATTTGTTTCAATAAAAAAGTTGGGCTGCCTTAACTCCTTAAGGAAGTGAGTCAGGGAGGGAGGAGTTTGTTTTAGGCCCATCACCCTTCAAACCTGAAATTGGAAGGGAAAGGACCGTTCTTAGGGAGCAAAACCTGGAGATTAAACATGACCCCTGCTGGTTTTTCACAGTTTTTCCATTTGGTCCCTGACAACCAGCCAGGTTTTATGCTATTTCAAAGTGTCATTTTTGCCCTTTTGTAACAGCCTCAGGAAAAGCTAAAGGTGTCTTCTCTAGTCTCACTTTGATCTTTAGCAGTCTTGGTTCTTAGGTAAAACAGTTTCCATGTGAACTCTTGGGAGAGACTTCATTGAGTCACACTTCAGAACCATGTCTGTTTGAAGTTATTCTTGAAATGCCTAAGACTGTGCTACTTGAGCAGTGCATATTTCAGTAGGTAAGACTCCTAACATGCTTCCTGAACTATTCCAGGCTGTGTTCCTGCATTCCCTTCTGGATAACAGCCAAATATGGAAGTGAGGGGAGGCTGTAGGTAGTAGGTAGTTTGGGGAACTAGATGGATGAAAAAATGCCTGCCCTGTGTCTGTCAAAAGTGTACCTTGATCATAACACCTAGAATAAGTTCCTACACTGCAAATGTGACCAGAAGCGAGGTTTAGCGTGGCGATGACCACTCTTAGTTAAAATACTAACAAACGTTTGTAACAGTGTCTGCTTAACGGGAAAAGCTTGCTAATTTAAATTTTGTGAAAGAAGTGTTACCGCTTTAAAAAGTTACTAGAGTGTTATTCTTGATTATGGTATTCTATCCCAGTGACAGGACAATTGAATGCATTTACTTGGCCATGGCATTTCCTTGTATGTGAAGCTTTTAATCACATCTCAGTAGGAATTTGGTGATTTGACGCAACAGGGGGTCCTTCTTGCCTGAGGTTCTCAAACTGACTGCATACCAACATCACCTGAAAGGTAAAACAATATATATTTCTGTTTCCCACCCCTACCCCCAATTTTCTTATTCAGTGGATCTGGGTTAGCTCCTCATATTTTAAGTGATGGTGATGTTGCTGGTCCAGGGACCACACTTTGAGAATCAAAGATCTAATAGTCCTAACTCCAAATGGGTAACACACTAGCTCTACCTAAATATTCAGAGATTTGGTCTTAAGAGCCGTGTATACATTTTCAAATGCTTTCTGCTGTGGTCATGAACATCTACTAAACAGGACATGCCATTTAAAATGGCTGCTGAACTATTGTGTGTAAAATGAGCTAGAGCTTTGGTTAATTTCACATAATTTTGTGAACATTATGACTGGTTTTCAATGTGGATTTAGCAAATTTGAGAGAATTATTAAATCAAGTTCAATATCCTATCCTCACACCCTGAAAAGAAATAATACTAATGATAATATGAAAAGAAAAATAAATATTAAGACCTTTGACAAAGGAAGCACTTTAAAATACAACTTTGAAATCAAAAGACAAGGACTTTAGTTTTTTCAAGTTTTCTAGCAAAGATTCTGAAAATAACTGTGTTAGAGAATTTTAATATTCAGGTCACAGTAAGCACATGCGTGTGTCATCTTCGCTGACAGGGTATTAGGTAACTCAGCCTGAAGTTGTTCTGTTCTCTATTCTGGGAAAATGCACACTATGCAACTGCGCCATGCATCTTAAGGCTCAAGGAAGTTCCCCAAACTCTGTTGAAGATCTGGTTCTTTACCAGCTTCCAAAGAAACAGTGAGTTGAAATCCAATGAAAAATAGAAGAGCCTTTGCTCATTTAAATTTCTTTTACAATTTAGTGAGAGTATCAGCTATTGTTCAGATGTTAGAATTGTATATTTGGATAGGGAGAAGGGACCTTAGCTTTTTCATTTTAGTATTTCCTGGCACTTGAGTTATTTGTTTGCTTTTCTAATAATAATAATAATAATAATAAATATTTTTGATAAAAATATGTTTTGTCCCACCTTCCTGTTGCTGTTATTGTCGGTTTCTCACAGAGCAGTCATTCTGGTGGCTTAATAACTTTGCAGAATGAAGGACCGATGGAGTGTTATTAAAATTTTTTGTTTATTTTTATTTTATGTATATGAGTGTTTTGTATGTAGATATGCCACGTGTGTGCAGTACCCACAGAGGCCCTAAAAGGGCATTGGATCTTCTGGAACAGGA